GCATAAATGAGTTTGAGTCTTGAAGAATTATTCTTGATTTCTGATATATGCTGTTAACTTACAGTCATGATAATCCAGAAATTGTAATAAAAATAAAGAGTAAAAAGATAATTCTACTAGTGTAATAAAAAGCAAGTGAAATAAGATGAAAGAAATATTAATAAAATAATGAATACCTATTGACAATGCTTCATTTAAAAAATTTAAATAATACACCTAATCTTACTTGTGTATCTACCCATATATCAGATGGTTATAAATAAGTGATGAAGTTAGAGCCCAAGTAATCATGAGGATAAGGGATGTAAGTTTGAATTTCACTGGAGGTTTATTTATTTTTAATGGGTGAGCTATAGAAGAAATGAATATTTTCTCATTTGCATTTCCCCCATTATGTGCATTATATCCATGATATAATAATGTCATAAACTAAGGCGTTAACCCTATTTTATGGATAGCTGAAAGAAAAGGAATGACAAACATGCTTTGTTTTCAGATAGTTTTATATCACTAAGTCATATACACATATTTACATGTGTCCCACACAGAGAAATTATAATGTTGTGCATGGATGACCTGAAATGGGCTCTAGGAACTTTTAACTTACTTCCAAGTCCTCTATCAGCTCATGTACTCTACTACTGTACTGTACTGATGCGGGATTGAGCCGGCTTCTTCCTGTTATGAGAAGAAGATTCTTGGGATAAATTACAGAAGTAGGGTACCCAGGCCTACTCGGATAACGTTCTTGCTTGCCGTGGGGTTCCCACAGACGCAGAGACAGGAACGACCAGAAGCCGCCGGTTACCGATGCAGACGCTCCTTGGATTTTCACCAGAGCCCTTGTTAGCCGGTGTGTGTGTGTGCCGCCCGGAACTTCGTTCCTGGTAGGGCCACCCAAGGCGGCTCATGTACTCACCAGATTTAAACTCCATTAAGCATGAATGGAAGGTTAAATTCACTGCAGCCATGCTCAAAAATCACAATTCACTTATAGACAGTCTTGGATATATATCTGGATGGATATATCCATGCAAGGATTTTGGCCTTCCAATTATGTTACATAATCAGCATTCTTCATATGAGCAACAAATTAGGTAATCTTTGGCCCTTTTTATTTTTTTCCCCAATAATGTTCACCTGATACAAGGCCCAAAAGCCACTCAAGGTAAACAGAGTAAGAGGAACAGTTTATGGGGATATGTAGGGGAAAATAATGGTTAACACTACATTTGCACAGGTTAAGATTTTAGAGATTGGAGAAGCATCCTCTTGGGAGTCCATTCCACAAAGCAACAGTTGTAGAAAGAAACTATTTTAGTGGAACTTACATTTCACCAATGGAATACAAAACGTTCACTAAAATGTGGACAGCATAATGGGTGTTAGCTGTGAAGGTTAGAATATAGTTTGTTGGAATATTTTCCATGGAAATACCGATAGAGTAGCAAGAGGCTTGTGACGTTTCATCTGTGGGGAAAGGTTGTATAGTGGAAAATAATTTTTTAGATATAAACTTAAGGTTGCATAAAATACCTGATTTGTGTGTTTTGGGTAAACCATAATGGTATTTAATCAATTTTGACCTTTGTTTTTCCTCATTATCTGTCAACTGTGAAGATTGACCTGAGAGTCTTGGAGATAAAGTAAAACCTCATTAATTCACTTTTTAAAAGAGTAATTAGTGCTACATTAGGAACAAATAATAAAACATTGTTACAAATAGCAGCTAATCAGCAGTCTGGCATGAATTCAGTCATGTGGAAAAAAATTGCACCATTGCTTGTTGAATGTTTACAGAGACCAAGCACAGTTAAGTGGTGGGTAATGATTCAGCAGTAGCAATCACAATGTACATGACAAGTCACATTTCAGGCAGCCTTACACATCTGTCAACCCATGATATGAAGAATGCTTGATCAGCTTGTCTGTGAATAGAAATTTGGAAATCATGTCTGGATTAGAATGTTGGCATCGATGTGTTGATAATGTTGAGACATTGTAAAGTTTTACTCTTTCCTGATCTTTTGAACAGGAGTAGAGGTTTATCCCATGTTTCCTGTTCCTACTATAGTCTACTTCAGCTCTGTACTTCTAATGCTTGTTCTTTCCTATGCTAATATATGACCACACAGTAACCCTCTGCCTTGAGTGGGTATTGGGCCTTGTATTGGGTGAACATTATTAAAAAAAATAAAAAGAATACAAAATATGTTGGGATCTATTGAACTATCATAAAAGTGTGAAAATTTCCTGGACTCTGTACCATTACAAGTGATATGAAGTGGCGTCGCCATGCTGAGCTAGTGTGTGGAAATCAAGAAACTTGTGTCAGGAAGTAAAATGATGTACACTGTCTTTTGGGATAGGAAAGGTGTGATCTTCTTAGATTTCCTGGAACCTGGAGAAACCATCAGCTCTGATCATTACATTGCAATACTGATTAAACTGAAAGTCTTAATTTCCAGATTGGAGAAGAGATTTACTTGCAACATGCAAACATTGGATTCAATACCAGTTTGAAGACCATGGATCACATTGCAAATTTTGGTTAGACTATTCTACTATACCTATTGAATACATGATAAAAAAAATCTACGAAACAGTAGTTGGTTTATTAATTCCTATAAAAATTCTCTCCCAATCACAACTGCAATGGTGGCTTCTTCTTGATATCAAATTGTTTTCACTTTATAGAATTTATATATAATTACAGTTCGACCTCTTTAATCCAGCATCCTACAGACCAGGACACTGCTGGACCACAAATCTTCCCTAAAAAAAAAAAAAAAAAAAAAAATCCGCCTATCTAAACATAATCTTGCCAGCTCATTCCACATATTATATTGCTATTTTAAGACATTTTTATGTTTATACGTTCTTTTTATAGATACAAATATTTAAGTAAATGCTCTGCTTATAATAAACAGTATTAACAACATTTACTGGCCTGATTTCATAGAAAATATGCGTCCTCCGACAGGAATGAAACCTGTATCCTATACGGAACTGTCATATAGCCTGGCATGCTTTTACCGATTGAGCCACAGAGGAGTGTTTCAGTTAGCAAGGTTGATTTTACTGTTTTGAAGCTACAATTCTCCATGATTTTCTCTCATACATTCATATCTGCTCAATGCGTATCCTGATGTAAACAAATGACGTCACACATTATGAACAGAGCATTTACTTAAATATTTGTATCTATAAAAAGAATGTATAAACATAAAAAATGTCTTAAAATAAAATAATTGGCGGACTTTGTTCATTTCATGATATATTGCTATATTATCAAAGATAGAAGAATGCTTGAAACAGGAAATAAAACAATCATTAATTCTTCCAAACGAGGTTTTTATTGTTTCATGCACCTCCTGCTCTCTTAGGTAGCATCCTGAATGGTTAAATATGCAGGTATATATAAGAAATGAGCAAGACTGTATCACCAAAACACTGCTGCTACGGAAAGTTGTAAACAATGTGTGATGCTGCTATCGTAGTTGTGCAATGAACTAATGGTGACTGATTCAAAAAAGTGCTGGACCATGGGAGTTCCAGATTAACCTTTATCACTCGGCATGTGATTTAATTTGAATTTTTCTGAATTTCATAGTTGTGTTGCCATATCCTGTTATACACCTTTGAGTGCAATTAACAGTAAGTATACTGCAATTGAAGCCTTTAAAAAGAATGCAGTGGAAAGGAAAGTATTTTAAAGAGGTCTGGCTATAAATAATATTAGTATTATAAAAATACTAATTGACAGAATTTATTATTGTTTTTATTATTATTAGTAGTTACAATAATCACGGCCAGGTGTCATATTTTTTTGTGCACATTTGGCAGTGATGCATGTGTCTGATATACCCTTATCAGATTGGGTGTCATGATGAATATATTGAGCTTTGTGTTCCAGCGTCACTATTCTCTCAATTTGTGGTCAGAAATACTTGTAATTTAAACAAACATTTACTTTATCAAAATAAAATATGTGAAGAAAAGTACATATGATCTTTTCTAAAGTTTAGTATTTGAGTTCATTGCTAAGAGGAGAGGAGGTCCTGTCCTTACCCCCCCACCAAAAAAAAAAATCACTCACTTCTCTGTGAAAATGATATGAATTAATTTTAGGGTGCAAATGGCTTGACTATTGTTTAATGGGGACACTTAGTGATAAGCTGCTACTGCTTTTCCTGACTTACTAAGTAACTTTTTTTTTTTTTTTTTTAAATGATGGAATTAAATTACATTTTTTTATAGTGGGTTATTTGAGCATTTTGTTATTATTGTTCATGAAATTTAATTCAATTCTTTTCATGTAAAAAAAAAAAAAGAAAAAAGCTGATGATAATTCACTTGTTTTGGTAAAATAGTGAAGTGTTTTTTTTTTTTTTTTCTTTTCTATCACCTGGACTTTTCTAAGTATGCCTAGTAAATATTAGTGTACAAATTCTTATTTGCAGTTCTCCACCTTAACCCTCTAGCATTCAAACTGCCCAAATCGCCCTGTAAATATTGGCTTTCCATGTTCAACCTGCTATACCCACCCCATGTCTATTCTGCTATAATATATGATGACATCATCGCAAATAATGCAGGAAGTCATGTAAACAGTAAGACTTTGAGAGTTGATATTTACAAAGTGGGTTTGAGTGTGTTGAATGCTAAACAGCTAAATACTGGTACCCTACCTAAAAAAAAAAAACTCTGGTAGTGAGCCTGTTAGTAATGTCTTAAGCTAACAAGAAATTGCACTTATAGTTTTCTTAAAAGTTATTGATTAATTTTGTTTGATTTACTCCCAAAAGTCTGAAAAAAAAAAAAAGAAAAAAAAAAAAGGTCCATAATATAAAAACAAGAACACAAAGAAGAAATAAAATTGAAGTATTTTATTAGTTTTCAGGTAGGTATTTTGGCAAACTTTGGGATTGCCTTCATCAGTCCATGACTAAGATTTAAGGCTTACTGTGTGTACCTGGAGGTAAAACAATGGAGTTTTGTTAGCTGCTCCCAGATATCAGTAACCTAGAGTTTGAGTCCAGGCCAGCTGGGGTAACCAATAGATAACTGAAGGTTTTTATAAAGGTGCAGAGCAGTTTAGGGTCAGCACATTTTGCTATAACACAAAGAGAAAAAAAAAAAAGAACCAAAACAAATCAATATAAGTGTTTGTATTTTTCTATCACTGCTGGATATGAATTTCCTTACATGAATTTATACAGGTATATAATTAAATATATCTCACTCATTGAGGGAAAAGAAAGAAATATAGAAAAAGAAAATAGAGAAATGAAAAGAAAAGGAAAAAAAAATACATAATAAAATTTACCTCTTAACAGGGAAGCACCAGTTTCAGCCTTACAATCAATAAAGAATGACAAACATTATACATTTGGTATCTACATGCATTCAGGGCTCATATATGCTTGCTGAAATAAATAAAAAAATGATTCAGCAATCATTGGTAGAAACTCCCTGTTGGAAGCTTGAATCAACAGCACAGAGCACAACTTTGTTATCACCCTTACAAAATTTTTATATAAAATTCTTTTTCTATGAGGGTAATGATTTTGAGAATAAAAATAAAGATGCCTTCAAATTCAGCTGAAGAAATTTAAGTTTCTTTTTACTGTGTTTGGGACAGGGATTTTGAGAGATAGATATATATATATATATATATAAAAAAAAAATATACAACCCTACTTTTAACACTAAAAAAGACTTGTTCAAATTTTTTCTGTTTTGAACCAAACTAATGCATCCCCATCACCTAAGATTATGTACAAAAATAAGGTTTGGTACTAGAGTTAAAAAGGCTCCAAGACACATAAGAACAAAGATTATAGTCAGTAGGTTGGTAGGTGACTTCATGATCTTAAAAGATTAGAATTGAAACCTTCAAAATGGTTTCATGTTAGCAAAGTGCCATGTCTGGAGCCATTATACTTGCTTTTTCTGTGAGATATTTTCTTTTCTAGTCAAATGCATTACATATAGAATGGGATAAACTTGAACCAGCAAATAATTTTTTTCATATATTTTGGAAATAATATTTATTGTTGCTGTTAAAAAAAAAATATTTCATGGCAGCGTGAGAAAAATAAAAGAAAATATATAATTACCATGAACGTTAATTTAAAAAAGGAAAAAAATAACAGCTAGCTGGTTTTTATTCCTCTCTCTTCAGGGCTCAACTGAGGAAATAAAATTAATGGACATCATGGCTAAAATAGGGAAAAATATTCTAAATTAAGATATATTAATAATATACCAATATATGTATATCTATATCTATCACAAACATATCACATTGAGACCTACCAGGCCATTCTTTCCATTTGCAAAGAGAAGGCTGTAGAGATTTAATGAATACTAGAAATACCCATGAAAATTTCACAATTTTCCTATTTAAATTTTTTGGTGAATCTTAATTCTTAAGTTAATGATTGAATAAGCTCATGGCAAGTTCTATAACAATAAAATATCTGTAAAAATTCCCTTATCACATCATTAAATATTTAACAACTTTTAGCAAAATATTGCAATAACAATCATAAATATGAATGCTGGTCATTATTTTAAGAAGTAAGGGGGTACAAATGAAAAGATTTGAAATTGGCAATTTTTCCGTTTCTTTGAAACAGTTCTCGCTTCCCTTTTTTCATTTTCTCACTGCAACCAAGTAATGTCTGATATGTCTTTTCCATCTTTCCATGTGTGATCAAAATGGAATAGTCCATTATTTATGAGGTATTGGCAAGGTGTAACAGTTGAGTTAGCTAAGGGAGAGACAAGCATAATTATAAGATGGTCTCTAAAACTTTCAAATGAAAGCCTGAATGTAACTGGCTTAGAGAGCATATATTTTTTGTTTTTCAAATTACAATTCATGTTACTTATATTTTTTCCATTCTTATTTTCCAGTTACTTCCATGAAGTATGTCTGTTTTAATAGCAATAATAAAATTTTGTACCACAAGGTATATCTTGAAATAATACTTAAAAAACAAAAAAAAAAACACATGTGCATAGGTACAGTTATTAATCTATGTGCCATTTTACATTGTATTGTTCTTGAAAGTTATTTGATGCCAGATCACTAACAGTCTTCATTTATTTGTACAAATTCTGGGACAAGGGTTTAATAGTTTCTTGTACCAAGGCAACTCATTAACTATTTTCACTACAAGATTTAACTTGAATTCAACACATTTGGTATTTTAATTCAAATAGTAAACCAAATGAATGGACAGGTGACAGCATTATTCAGATAATGAGTGTCTCAGTTGATTGGAAGGATGAGTAAATGTCATTTAATGCATCAACCAATTCATTAACAAGTGGTTGCTACTGTTCATTCTTGCAAATTCTGAAATCAATTTAGATTTATATGATTTGAAAAGAGAAAAAAAAAGGAGAGGAAGGAAGGAAAGAACAAATGAATGAACAAAATTTATGTAAAATAAAATTGAATATTCTATTATGTAGTCCCATTCATTCATATTAGACTGTTAGCTACTGGCAGGATCTGTAGTGATCATTAAAAAAATGTAACTATATCTACTACAATATCAAAATTGTTTGTTGTTTTTTTTTTCATATTTGTAACTCTGAAATCAATTCCCTTGCTAAATTTATTAAAAATGTTCTGTCTTAGAAAATGAAGAGGAATTGAGAAAGACAAATATGTGAAAAAATAATGACAAATTAATAAGGAAAAATGAAAAATAAAGTTCCTTCTGCAAAATTCTCAATGTTAGAATTGGAAATGACAAGGTGAGAAGTCATTAAACAAGGCTTGCCTTCTTCCTCAATCTATTCTATATTTCACTTCATATCAACAAGTTCGGCCTTTTTATCTACAGGTGTGGAGACCAATCCAGTTGAAATTTAGTATTTAGAAAAATGTCACTAAAAAAAAAAAAATATTGAAAGAAAACCAATCATTTTTATTGGTTTCACATTGGATTGAACATTTTTGATTCAATATTTCCACTCCAACTTTTTTTTTTTTTTTTTAAAGAATTTTCTATACAAACTTGATAGCCTTTCAGCATAAAAGCTACAATATCATGCAGAATTCTTTATTCACAATGCTAGATTTTATGTACTGATAATATATATAATATGTACATAAGGAAGGATAGGTACAATTAATTTACAATAGCTATAATGCATTTTGTACAGTTTTATATATATATATATATATATATATATACACAATTGGCAAATGAATTAGTCATGAGTGGAAATCACATATCACTAAAGAGTGATACTCTGTATCCAGAGAAATATTTATATGTGCGTATCTTCTGTAAATGAAAAGAATGTTCAGCTTTATTTAATGGTAATTTTAAAAGTTATACAATTTTTTAACTAATTTTCTTTGGGTTACATATCCAATGTTTGGACAAGTGAACCTTTCTTCATATACTTGTTAGCAGAAGGTTTCAGTTGATCCATATCAAGGACCATCCTTCTCTGAACTTCATGGACTGGTGTTACAGAATCACAAAGAACTGTACCAAATAACAGAAACCACATTACTTGAGGATTTTTAATAGCAGCAACAACTAAAAAAGGTTAAGCAGGAAGCTCTCTCTCAATCGTTACCAGAAAAAGTGGTAAGAGTAGACTTGAGAAACCTACTTTCCTGAAAAATTGTTTCAATAATAAAAAGATTTTATAAATTTCAACCAAAAGTGGTATTGGCTGCTTGGCCAATGAATGCTGAATGTTTCCTTATAAGGAAACATCTACGATAACCTTTACCATTCGGTAGTCCTCGTCAAGTGTACACCATGATGTTGGGAGTAAGGGGTGGAAGGAGAAAAGCCTTTTTCTTTTAAGGAAAAGGTCATGTAATACATTTAGCAAGAGCTAAGGAATGGATTGTGTTCACATGACTATGAAGAAAATTGTTCAATTGTCTGAACAGTATTGGGTATGTTAATGACATTTTGCAGTGTGATAGACAATAAATTTCATTGGGTTACTTTGCACAGAAACTGACTTGTTTTTCTTAGGGTGCTATGTGAATTTTATTGAACATTTGTGGTTAAGGAGTTGGTAAGTAAAGTGTACGATAAAAGAGAAATGGGCAAATTTAAACACCAAAAATATTGGAAACTGTAACCTGAAAAACAAAAAAAAACAAAAACAAAAAAAAAACAGTGACTGCCCTTGATGATCTTGAAAAGCAATATGGAGTTAAAAAAAATCTCTTTTTAAATTTTCAATTGTAGATAAGCTTAGTAGCTTAAACCAAACCTTCACATGAGATTTTCAACTGAAGAGTTAAAAATTTTCAGAAACATTTTGGTGATTTTTTTTTTTTTTTTTTTTTTTACCAATACTGTTATTTGACATATTTAATTCCTTGGTCAACAATGGGGGCAGGGATATAAACAGCACTGTTTTTTTTTTTTTTTTTTTTTAATATTAAAAATTTAAAAAAAAAAAAAAACAAGGAAATCCGTGTAGAAAATATATAATAGAAAAGAGAATGTTTGCTCAATTATATATCTATTTCAATTTTACAAAGGCTGAGGATGTGAAGTTCTGCTTGTCACTCAATTCTCAAAATAGAATTCAGAAAATTTATTCATTTGCAAGAATAACAAAAGATTTTTAAAAAAATAATTCTGTTTTTAAAGATACAAATTTAATTTAATGTGAGACACAAACAGCAATGTTGGCATTCATGTGAAGATAAAGTCTTTGGTAATTGCTGAAGGCACTCCTAATTTTTATTTCTTATGAAATGTTACAACTCCCCTTTCAAAAATGGTTTAGCTTAGATTATAGAGATTTTTGTTAGGACATTTAAATTGAACTGTTAATTTTGTGTTATTTGATTCAAGGGCTGCATATATGTAGCATTGGTTGCCCAAAATAAAGAAAAATAATCTTTAGGTAAAACTCATTTTGTGTTTTGATTAGATAATAAAACATTGTTTTGAGATATTCTGAAAATTTCTAAATGTTTGATTAAAAGTGTAAATAGATCTCCATTCCTATGTTATTCAAGGTAGGAGATTATAAAATGAATTTAACAACAAAACTCTACAAAAGGATATATTCTGCTACATTTTAATATCTTGACCTACTTCATGATGTCAACCAACATTGTTGTATCTCAACAGTCTAAAGATTAAAGTTTTATGTTATAACTTAATAAAATGACAAAAAAAAAAAATTGTTAGTCTTTAAGAAAAAAAAATTCTATTTTGTACAATGAATAGAGCAAATAGTTTAAAATACACACTTGTCTAGTCGGCACAGTCATTTCACAATTAACCAAGCTTTGCTATTGTTTGAACCATTGCCACTGGAAAATATTTTTAAGTTAAAAATC